CAAACAGTCGTGGGGGGGGGGGGTAAATCAACTGCCACTAGATGCAAACTGCAAAAATTTCAATGGATTGATCATTTTGAAGCCTTACATCCGAAAAGAATAGATATATTGTAGCCTTACAATATATATACGTATATTATAAAATTTCAAATTGGCCAGATGAACTATCTCTAATTTGACAATTCCCAATTCATTCCTCTAAGGTTGGCACACAATATCTTAACAAAGTAAATTACTGGTTCTTAAATTTTCAAGAAACTAAACATTTTTGTAATTTAATAAACTAAGGGTGTTCACGGATCTCAATCCGCGGATTGAAGACCAATTCGCAATCCAATGCAGAACTGTGGATTGAGAAAATTCTAATCTATGTCCTATCCAAAATCTTTTCGAATTGGATCAAATTCAATCCAAAACATATCGAATTTTGTGGATGGACTCATGGATTCACGGATTTTGACATTTAAAAAATAAAAATAAAAAAATACATACAAAATAAACACAACATGAAATATTAATAAACATCTATATTGTTACTTCAAGCAAAAAAAAAAAAAAAAGGTTTCACAATGTGCTGGGCTTTGTAGTAGGGACTAGGGATATTAGATATGAGCTTTGTAGTAGGGATATCAAATATGAGCCACTAAGTATATACTAGATTTTTTAAAAAAATTTAAAGAATTAACTTAGATATTTTATATATAATTATAAAAATTATACATATGTATATATATAATTTTGGATTTGTGGATTGGAAAGTGTTCAATCCGCAATTCGATTCAAAACTTTCAGATTGAAATTTTCTCAATCCGTGTCTGATCTAAAATTATTTTCACTTCGATCTAAAATCATTTTTAATCCGATTTAAAACTTTAAACTGGATTGAATTTCGGTTCGAATTGGATTAGATTTTAAGGATAATCGGATTTGCAGATTATGTGATAACCCCTGAATAAAACCATGGTCATTCACTAAAAATATGTTTTAAAAGGGCGATTTTGGCACGTACCCTCGAAAAATACTATTTGACTAGTCATGAAAGGGAAAAAGAAAATCAAAACAGATAGCTATGGTTAAGACTGAAAAGGACCTTGCCACGCTAGCTACTCTATACTTCTTCTCACGCGTGTAGACTAGTCAAATGGGCTAATGCGCGGTGGTGATTGGTGATTAATGGCACCTATGAGGTGACTGTATTAACCCATAATTAGAGAAGTTGATTTGTTGAATGATAGTGGGAAGCTAGGAGCATTATAGGTATCACCAAATAATAATAATAAATAAAAAAGATGATTTTATAATAAGGAATCCCCAATGGTACTTTTCTAAATAAAAGCTTAAACATCAATTTAGTATCATTATCAAAAAATTAGAACTAGTATAGTATGAACGTTTTACAATCATCTCATGTTGTTATGAGTGTTAACATAGAAAATTAAGCATTTACATGCTTTTATTAACAATCCTCATGTTATATTAGTTTCAACCAAATCACATTAAGCATGCACAAATCTTCCTAATGAGTCATTGTTTTTATTCTCAAATTATTATTATTGCAATCTCATGTTATTACAAATGTTAGAGCATCTCTAATGCAATGCATAATTAATGTGCTAATTGTTAATTTATCATTAAGTGTAAAAAACACTCTAATACAATGTTATTTGTTATGTTAAATTTTTCATATGCTATATTTTGTGATAAATTTCCCACAAAGTATAACATATGGTAAATTTGACTCTTGATTCCTATTGGTTGATATAGTTATTTTTTCATTTAATCATTACAACTTTTGTTTTTTCAAATTATTTTAATATTAAAAGTTTACTTTTATAATTTTCAAAGCTTAATAATTATAAAATGAATATGACTATGGTACCACGTCGGATAAGTGTGGATACCTGTTTTTTTTTTTTTTTTTTTGAGAAAGAGAAAAATAGGCCAAGACTTGAGATGAATTAAAATTAATAGGCCAATAGTTTACATAAGTTAATAAATATGTCAAATTACTGTTTTCGTCTATAACTTGTCTGGTTATAAACCATAACTTGACAAGTTATTGTCCATAATTCACGGTTTTTGTCCATAACTTGTCTGGCTATGAACCATAACTTGACAAGTTTGTCCATAACTTATCTGGTTATGAACCATAACTTAACAAGTTATGGCCTATTAATTTCTATAACTAAAAGTTGACCTATATACTTTCTTAAGCTTTTTATATTGGCCTATTTTCTACTATTTTTATTTTTTTTCTAAACATTCAGATTATCAGTCAATGGTTTCAGATCAAGGTTACATAAAAACAAATATAGACATTAATACATTCGATAACAAAATCTAATAATCACAAGGGAAAAAGGAGAGAAAAGGCTAAAAAGAAAACACTCGGGCAAAACCTGTTTGATAGCTCCATCACGCCAGAATCTGCCACACAGGTTCCACCTACTCACACCAAGACTTGTCCCTCACCTTGTATCCCCATTGCGACGGAATCACAAATCGCGACCTCTATCGCCGTCGCGAGGGGTCACGATGAGACGCTGCCCCATCGTGATGGTCGCAATGAGATCGCGACGCCATTGCGAGAATTATGGGGGTGGGTCTCACAGCAAAATCGTAAGGACACGACCCCGGTGGGTGGGGTTCCCTCTTAGAGATCTTAAAACGTTTTTAGATCTTGGAGGGTCACTGGTAACCTCCTTTAGGCGACATAGAGGTAGATTTAATTTCCATAATATATATTTTTTAAATTTTTTTCCTTTATTTTTAATTTCTTTTTTGGGTTTAATGAATTTGATTTGACACAATCAAGTGTTTTTTTTTATTTTTTTTTATTTTTAATAATGTCATCACAAGAATTCAATGTTTATTCAATGGATGAAAATGTCATTATCAATAACGGAAAAAAAAGTGGGAGGTATGTTAGCATTTACCTTATAGAAAAAATAGAGTTTAACCTTTAAAATAACATTATGCATTAGAGTATAAATAAAAATAACATATCCTATCATATCTTTTCGTGTTAAATATACAATTGACATTAGCATTTACATTGGAGTCTAACATAACATTTTATACATTATGTAACAAATTAAAAATTATTTGTCATGGTAACAACAATAAGGTTACCGTAATTGAGGTAAATGAGCCGAAGCCAAATCCTCTTTGAGAAAATAGAGAATTTATCTTTGAAAGCGCATGCGTCTAGACCTTTACCCTTTTTTTTTTAATAAATACCATTTTATTAGTGTAATTATATGACTAAAAAGGTTGTGAATCAACAATAAAAAGTAAAAACTCTCACCATGCACTCAAGATTACCCAATCTCTTTTGTACCCTTCTCTATGAATAATATCCTTAGTTGATAGATAATGAGAAATTAAGGGAGGAAAGATTTAAGAAATAACATAGATTTATATGGAGGTAGATGCTTCTAGACTTCACACACACACACACACACACACACAAAAGGACACGGAAGGAGCAGTGGGTCAATCTGGCTCTGCAGCCCAGCCCACATGGTATGAAAAGGCCAGGCAAATCCGGTCCTCCGATATTACTGGCATTTTGCAACTTTATTAGAGATAACTAGAAATATTATGCCGCATAAAAAAAAAGGGTCAAATTAGGGATTCTGTCCCTCGCTTCTTTGGTTTTATGTTCCAGTTTCACCCTTCTTATGTTTGATACAAAGATTTACCCAACAAAATTACTAGTTCATTCAAAAAAATAAAAAATAAATAAATAATTACTAGCACTAGTCACTACAATAGGAATAGCATTTCAAAGTAATGGCACACCATTTTCCTATTCCTAGTTTTTTGTTTCACACATTGGTATTGGGCATGAGAAAACTCCACCTTATAAAAGGATGACTTTCTGACAATATTTGAATAGCGTATTCCACTTCATATAAAAAATAAAGAGCAAAGCTTTAAGAAAAAACATCCATTCTTTGGTACTTCAAGTATAAGTTATAATTAAAGTACCTCAATCAGAGAAAATGTCTATCAAGTTCATCGGATTCTTCAGACGATTGGCCTCGAATTGCCTCAATAGCTGCAACGACTGATGATAGAGACTAAGGTTGATGCCGTCGACGTTCCTTCCGACACGCGCCTGTAAAACTGCCTGAAATAGAACAAACACATTGGAGATTTGTAGGAATATTAATCTGTAATCAACTAGACGATATATCAATAGTTTACCTGATTATCAGGTTGAATTAGTTCACCAACAAACTGGTAGATGGAGCCAATTCGAAAGCTAATTTCCCTTAGGTGCTCGGTATTGATCTTTAATTTGGCGTCTCCATCGACAACCATGGCAATGGCTGTCTCCGCTGAGTACTCTTCTAGCCTGAAGAGAAAAAGGAGACACCAAGCTTCACAATGTTTAAATTGTTTGAAATCATAGTGATAAGATAATGAAAATAAATTAATGGAATCAACAATATGCATGTGGTCCAATCATTGACCCACCCATACCGGTATAACATAAATACATGAAGCATCATGCAATTATATGAATCAGATGATCTGTTTGCAATTATGAAGCAATGATTAAGCTGATAAGCCACTGCTTAGACAAGTGTATATTAGGAGGAATAAGAGAGGGGTAGGAGCGGGAAATTAGAAGGTGGCTCGGGTGTGAGTGTTAGAAGAGGGGGAGTTAGTTAGAAGTCGGTTAGCAGAGGGGTTGATACTGTAATCAGTGTTGAAAGTCTTGGCTGTGTCCAAGCAGAGGAGGCTTGCAGACCCTCTAAGTCTGCTGAATACTTGTAAATCTTCCATTTCTGGATAAGAGAATTCTTGTTCTTCTTCTTTGTTGCTATATTTTCCTACGATTAGCCTAGTTCTATCAATTTGGTATCAGAGCATTGTTCTAAGAGATGGCTGCGGGCAAGAAAACGGAAGAAAAGTCTGAATCCGTGGAGAAGGAGATGCAGCAGATCAAGGCTTCGCTGGAAAAGGGAATCGATGATGTTAGGGCGGAGATGAGCCAAAATATGGCGAATCTGCGTCGTTTCATGGAGCAGTTGCGGTTACTGACAGCACAGGCGATGATGGGATCGAGGGCGGAGGGATCTGGAACCGTCGCCGTTGGAGTTCGCAATGGCTGCAGGGTTGGGGTTTGCGAGGGTTGTGATACGCATGCCATGGGGGAGCGACGCGAACCTGTGGGTCAAGTGGAGGAATTTGAGCGAATTTGGGGGAACCGGTCGAACCTAGGGTTTTCGTTGGTGAAGGACGTGGTGAGTTGCGTGGAGTCGGCGGCAGTATTGATCCGATCGGTAGAGTTCTTCCACGCAGAAAGGAGCGAATTGCGATTCCTAGGGCTCATGAAGGATTCTGCCGGGGTTCTATTTGGGAAGAGGGTTACCGGGCGGCGGAGGGTGGATTCAAATTGAGAGTGGATGGACGTTTTGAAGGACTCAAGGCCGGCGAGTCTGTTTGCAGACGTGGACGGAGAATTTTTGGAAGGAGAACAGCGTGGGAGAAAGGGGAGTTTGACGGGAGATTTCCGGGACATGGAGTGGGTCTACCCGAGGATTTGGAGGGGTCCAATGGGGAGTTTCCGGAGCTGTGGGGGGAGGATAATTGGCCACCGGTGAGAAGGAAACACTTGGATTATCCTATGCTTAGTGGTGATGATCCAGACAGTTGGGTGTTCCGAATGGAATAGTTTTTCTCCATTAACCATTTTTCGGAGAAGGAAATTTTTTTAATAGCCTTGGAAGAAGATGCTCTCTCTTGGTTTCAGTGGCAAAATAAGCGCCGGCCATTTGTCAATTGGGTGGAATTCAAGGTGGCACTTTTACAGAGGTTCCGTTCCTCACAAGAGCGGAATTTATGTGAGAGGTTCTTGGCTCTACGGCAAGTGAGCACGGTGACTGAATATCGCCGAAGGTTTGAAGTCTCCGCAACCCCATTACACGACGTGCCAAAAGAAATTCTGGAAGGTATCTTTATTATTAGTTTACCAGTCCATCCTAAAAGCTTAAGCTGTTAGAAGGTGGACCAACAATAGTTTAATACTTTAACACTCCCCCTCACGTGTGGGCTGGACAATGGGCAATTGTGTGGGTAAATTAATTAGAAAGCCTAGCACGTGAATATTTAAGCCCAAGATATATTAAAGACCCAACACATGATGAAAATTTAAATGGGGATAAAGAGTGCAATTACGGGGGTTTGAACTCAAGACGTTCCGCTCTAATACCATGTTAGTTTACCAATCCATCCCAAAAACTTAAGCTGTTAGGAGATGGGCCAATAATAGTTTAATACTTTAACATTTATCAATGGATTAAAGGCTGAAATTAGGGCGGAGTTGCGGCTTCTTAAACCTTCGGGGCTCACTGAAATCATGGACACAACACATTGAATTGAGGAGAAAAACATGCTGTTGCGAAGAGATATAGGTGTGTCTATCGCATAGGGAGGTCACAGCCGAGTGGAAATGGACTTGGAGGTGTGGTGAACCAGCCCCCACCTGGTTATGGAATGGAGAAACCTGAGAAATCAAAAAAAGAATTTCCGTTTCGAATTGAGGATCATGTTATGTTTTCGTTGTGATGAGAAGTTTACGATAGGCCACCGTTGCAAGAAAAAAAAAATTGAGGATCATGTTAGTAAGTGATGAGAATGAGTGGGACATGGATGCATTTGATTTAGAGGACTCCAAGGCAGAGCCGGAAGAGATCTTCCAGTTGGAGGTGATTGAATTGTCATTAAATTTAGTCATGGGATTCACTACACCGAAGACATTAAAGTCAAGGGGGAAATCGGCCATCCTGAGGTAATAGTTCTAATCGATTCCGGTGCAGCACAATTTCATTTCCTTAGCTTTAGTTTCCAAGTTGTCATTACCGAATACTCCTACGACTGGTTTTGGTGTGCAAATTGGAACGGGAGAATCAGTGCAAGGACAAGGAATTTGTAAGGAGGTTGTGTGACAATGCAAAAATTGACTATTGTGGAAATTTTTGTAATCTGGCCTCCCTAAGTGATTCAAGATGAGGGGCCATAGTTGTCACACACTCACTTATGAAAACTTACATTGAGGGTGAGCTGGTAACAGATTGATCACATATTGAGTCATTGCTAATTTTACATATTAGAAGAATCTTTAAAATATAATACTGAGAGCTGAAAAAAAAAGCCAATCATGTGCTTAGTGAACCAGTTTGTTCTTCTTTTTTTTTTCTTTTTTTTGTCATTGTCTTCATGTTTCTGTTTGAGTCTGTCTTTTGTCCCATCACTCAAGGGCGAGTAATGTTTAAGTTCGGGGGTGTGATAACTCTAGAAAATAGAGTTATCTTCAAGGCTTTCAGGCTTAGAATAGTTAGGTTTGGAGAGTGATTTCCGTTATTTCTGTGTTCACTGTCATTTAATTGCAGTATTTCTTGTTTTCTTAAGTTTGATTTTCAGTTCTAGTGTTTTCTTCTTTCTTTTCAAGAATTTCATTTTACTTTAGAGAAAACATGTTGAATTGCGGTCCTCACTTGTTGCAGGAGTGAAAGGTATCACTTAGGAGGAAGCGCAACAAGTGGTTGGCGTAGAATAGCAGGAAATTTTAATTCAACGTTGCTACAAGCAATGCTGGAGCAGAGGATAGTGCAAGTTGTGCCAGGCTGGCATAATAAAATACTGCTGGTAGTCATTTAGTCTAGTAAGCAGAATAGTGGCAGACAAGATGGCATAACCATGACGTGGTCAGCAAAGAATTCTCAGTCCTCTATGATTTGCACACTTGTACATCTCACCCTTACCCTAGCATATAAAAGGAAAGCTTTGAGCTAAGAAGAGGGGGGCCGCACTTACACACAGAAAAAGAAAGAAAGAATAGTACAGTACGAGAAGGAAAAAAGGAGAGAAAGAAAACGCAAGGACCAGTACTGGAGAGGAATTGGAGCTGAAATTAGGAGACGATGAGCAAGAAGAGGACACCACCATTCTTTGGAATTCATTTTTGTCGTTACTTTCATTCTCCTGATTCGGTTTATTCTTCCTCTCTCTGTACTTGAAAGATAATTGTCTATTTTGTTGTGTTTAACCAGACAAGTATGAGCTAGATACATTTGGCTGGGATGATAAAGTACCCAGATTTGTAATTAACGTTGTGTATACTCACTTTTTCTATATTGATGCTGATCTAGTTTGTTCAATATAATCTTTATCGTTCATTTTTGTTTACTAATTGACCATCTTAAACAAAATACTGTGAGTTTCAATTTGCTGGAAAGTTGATTGGAATTAGACCAATATTCAACAGTGTGAGTTTAGCTTATTTTCATAAAGAGAACTAGCTTATTTGCGAGTAGTATAGTCTCACATAACCCAATTGAAACCCAAGCTTAAAACAACCTCTCTGTTTAGATTTTTCATAGGAATATGTTGAAATTTAAGTAAAGAGGTGAAATCATAAGTAGATCGGAATACTCTTCTGTTAATTCGTGTTTCAGGCTAACTGATAGCATCGCTTAGCAAGGCTGTAGCATACATAGCTCAGGTTGTAGAGAAGGGCAAATTGAGTCTCAGTCCTTTCACATAGATTGATTTTTACCTTTGATAACTGAGTGTGTTTTTATTTACATCTATTTACTACAATTCCCTTTAGTCCTTGTAGTTGAATCAAACCATTGAATTTGTTTACATTGCATATATTGAATCTTACTAGGAAAAATATTAGTAACTTTTTCCGTGGGAACGATACTCTACTCATTCACTTTATTACTTGTTCGGCACGTGCACTTGCGTAGTGAATTTACACCAACAGGTACCAATCCTTATTTTATTGGATTTTTCTCAACCGTTCGTGGTGGAAACTGATGCTTCGGGGTTTGGTATTGGCGCGGTATTAATGCAACAACAACGGTCAATTGCTTACTTTAGGCAAGTCCTGTCCATGCGTGCTCGTGCGAAGTCGGTTTATGAGAGGGAGCTCATGGCCATAGTCCTCGCCATACAAAAATGACGACACTATTTGTTAGGGAAGCATTTTATCATGCGGACCGATCAAGAGAGTTTAAAGTTTTTGTTGGAACGTTTGGTGAGTGCGGAGCATCAGAAATGACTTTGTAAGTTGCTTGGTTATGATTTTGACATCCAATATAAGCCTGGAATTGAGAAAAAAGCTGCGGATGCTTTGTCTAGGCAGCAAATGGGATTACAGTTGATGGTTTTGTCCACTCCGAAGGTGTTAGACATCGCTAAGTTGTAGAAGCAGGTTTTGGCAGATGTGGAGTTGGCTAAAATTCGGAATTCCTTGCTCCAGGGCACTTCTACTCCCAAAGGGTATACCCTACAGCGGGATACCTTACTCTATAAAGGCCGGTTAGTTGCTCCTTCCCGTTCTCCACTCATTGAGGTGTTGTTAAGGGAATTTCATGGATCTAAGGTGGGTGGGCACTCGGGGGTGCTCAAAACCTATAAAAGGTTGGCTATGGAGTTCTATTAGAAGGGTATGCGGCAGGACGTGGAGTCTTTTGTGGCTGCGTGTGTTATTTGTCAACAACATAAGGCATCCACTTCATCTCCGGGCGGGCTACTGCAGCCTATTTCCTTGCCCCACCAGGTGTGGGAGGATATTTCTATGGATTTTATTGAAGGACTGCCCAAATCGGAGGGGAAGGACTCTATTTTTGTGGTGATTGACCGCCTCAATAAATATGCTCACTTTGTTGCCCTTAAACATCATTTTTCTGCCAAAACAGTGGCAGCGTCTTTTGTTCGAGAAATTGTTTGCTTACATGGTTTCCCAAGGAGCATTATTTCAGATCGTGATAGAATATTCTTGAGTAATTTCTGGAGTGAGTTTTTCCGGTTGCAGGGCACTTCCTTATGTAGGAGTACCGCCTACCATCCTCAATCGGATGGCCAAATGGAGGTTGTCAATAGGTGTTTGGAGGCGTATCTACGTTGCTTTGTTTCAGGTGCACCTCGGCAATGGTATAGGCATTTACCATGGGCGGAATTTTGGTATAACACGAGTTACCATGTCTTAGCGGCTATGACTCCGTTCGAGGCTCTCTATGGCCGTGATCCTCCACCATTAGTTTCTTATGTGCCTAGTTCCACCACCACTTCTGAGTTGGATTTGCAGTTAAGTGAGCGAGACGCTTTGCTAGCGGAATTTTGGTATAACACGAGTTACCATGTCTTAGCGGCTATGACTCCGTTCGAGGCTCTCTATGGCCGTGATCCTCCACCATTAGTTTCTTATGTGCCTAGTTCCACCACCACTTCTGAGTTGGATTTGCAGTTAAGTGAGCGAGACGCTTTGCTAGCGGAATTAAAAGACAATTTGCTTAAGGCGCAACAGACTATGCAGGTGCAAGCTAATAAGAAGCAGAGATGCATCCTTTAAAGTAGGCGACTTGGTTTTTCTCAAGCCGCAACCTTATCGTCACCGCTCTTTGGCGCGCGTACTTAATGAGAAGCTTTCTCCTTGTTATTATGGTCCCTTTCCTGTGATTGCTCGCATAGGACCTGTTGCTTACAAGTTACAATTGCCAGCTCACGCTAAATTGCACCTTGTTTTTCATGTGTCTCGTCTGAAGAAAGCTATTGGTCTAGCGATACAAGCCCAATCATTACCGCCTATTCTGCTCGAGGACTTAACCTTGCAAGTGGAACTTGAGCAACTCGTGGATACGCGCTATTCTCCTACAACTGGCAATTTGGAAGTGTTGATCAAATGGCGCCATTTACCGGAGTTCGAATCCACTTGGCAGCCTTTCGACGTCATCCAACAGCAGTTTCCCACCTTTAACCTTGAGGACAAGGTTACTTTTTTTAGGGGGGGTGTAGTTGATAAGCCACTGCTTAGACAAGTGTATATTATGAGGAATAAGAGGGGTAGGAGTGGGAAATTAGAAGGTGGCACGAGTGTGAGTGTTAGAAGAGGGGGCGTTAGTTAGAAGTCAGTTAGCAGAGGGGTTGATATAAATAGGAAGAAGGATTATTGAGTAGGAGGGAAATTAGTTGTTGAAACTGTAATCAGTCTTGAAAGTCTTGGCTGTGTCCAATTAGGGGAGGCTTGCAGACCCTCGAAGTCTGTTAAATACTTGTAAATCTTCCATTTCTGAATAAGAGAATTCTTGTTCTTCTTCTTTGTTGCTATATTTTCCTACGATTAGCCTAGTTCTATCATAAGGCCCAATCAGAGAATCTGAGTATTAGTGTAGTCGAAAAAATCTAAGTAAAATGTACAAAAAATAATAGCATCAACAAATGAAAACACCTGTATTTAGGTAAACGTCAATCATGATATATCAATATATTCCTCTGGCCAAAAGGCAACCAGATTGAAAAGTAAAGTTGATAACGTAAAATAGCTTATTTTGAAATGATGTTGATCGATATTATCTTCTTCATTCTTGTCACAATCTTCTAATCTAGTTCTCCTCTAATCCAATAGAGCAATTATAAACAGTTAAACATCATGAATGCAAAGGTATCATAATTCGGTGGCCTTTATTTTTATTTATTTATTTTATCATATGTATCATTTTCCAATCAAATTTCACCTCAGCTCTACTTCTTCATTATCGTGGACACCAACTACTTCAAATCTATGCCAAAACCACCAAATACTACCCTTTATAAAATCTATTTCTTCCATCCTGCAGAAATGTTGTCATCAGCATGAAAAATTATATCCTTGGTTCTACATTTTCCAAATTTTCTTCCATCCCATTCCCCGTCACTGCCTTGCTTACACAATGGTGTTCTATACAAATCAGACCAACAACTTCAGTGGGACAACACAAGTTCACTTCTCTGCCACCAAACTCTGATCCAGTAAAGAGCATTCTTAAAAAAGATACAGTTCCCGAGACTCAAAAGTTTAAAGCTTTATGAACTAAAACTTGGTAATTCTCAAAATTTGTAGTCCTAGTTAAGCCAAGGAAGGAAACTCGTCACTTATGAACTTGAAAAATTAAGTAACAGGTAAAGTTGTATCTGAAAATCCAGTACAGAACAAGGCGGAATCAGGTGTTTGGAAAGGCAGAATTCTTACTTTCCAGTTACTCTAAGCGAAGCGCCTTGCTTGAAGTTAGGTGAATTTGGATGTAGGTCCTCCAGTGAAACCAATGCTCCAGATTTTATTTCAGATGAAGCCATCAAAACGACCCTCTAACTTAGTTGGACTTCTAGTTCCTTACTGCAAATGAATTATCACTATCAATTATTGATGAGCAACCAGAAGAGAATAAATAAATAAATAAATAAAAAGGGTGACATCTCAAAGTGAAATATGCTAAAACATATTTCCATTTCTCAAATACCTGCCATCAGTCACACTTTTGAATCATAATTTCCAGCAGTTCTGATAATCCATACTAAATAATATTCCCTAATTCTGTAGATAATTCCCTAGAAATACTTCAAAAATCACATTTCTCGCATATTTCTCAAACGTGTTGAAGATTCCATATGTCCCAATTCCCAACAACACCCCAAACAGAAAGTTAGGATCCGTTTAAAATGTATACTCAGATTATGATTTGAGTTCATTTACAGAAACTTTATAAAAGAAGAAATTTTAAAATTCAAACTCTGTATGAGATAAAAAATACTGTAGTAAAATCATGATTTGGGTTTGAGTATATCTTCCAAACAACCCTTTAAAGTTTTTGATGTTTTGATGACTCGTTTATCAAAGATGACTTTCAAAAATATCCAGGGAGGGAAAGGAATGAAAAAAGTATATAGTGTGATGGAATGAGACACTCAAAAATCTAATACACTCTTCAACTACAATATATTACATACATACCCTCAAGCCTACAACTACACTAGCACAAAAGGGGATATGTTGGTGATAAAAGCACTTTTCTCTTATAAACCCACCTTTAAAATTTACACAGCAGACCAAACTAAGGACCATAACCAAATTAAATGGAAAAAAAAAATGCAATTACACGCACTCAAAACAGTCAAAGTACGAAGTTTCGCATTATATTCAGAAAAAAGGAAAACCCATTTACTTTTTTTTCAATGGACAAGTTACTATTGCACAAGTCAGCGTAAATGCTAAATCAAAGCAAACCCAGAAAACAAGTAAATCCCACGTAGCAAAAATTCAAAGATTAGGAGAAAAAATGGCATTAGAAATACGTAAAAATAATAATAATAATAAAATAAAATAAAAAAACCTTACCTTGATTCCTTTATGAGATGAAAACTGGAGAGTTCGGATACTCTTGCGGAAAAGGGAACTGGGGAGTGTTCCACTGCTCTCTTACTCTCACGTGATCACGTGGCGTGTATTTACTTCAAGCGGTGGGTTAATATGGGCTGGGTCAAATGGGCCAGGTTGTGGCTGTCTCTGTGGCCCGATGTTTGAAACGGGCAACCGGCCTACCCCAGTGAGGCCTGATCTGTACTTTTAAGAAGAAAACCAAAAAAACCACTCATAAGAGTGCTAACATTTATGTCACAGAGGTCAAGGTGACATAGTAAATGTTAAACCCAACACTATTAGACACACAAATATTTTTATTATTATTAAGAGCACTCAAAAAGAAGATTTACACACTCAATTATTACAACTCTCAAAGACACCATACTCACACTTACAACCTCCTGAACTACTCAAATCTATTAGCTTTATATTTCTTCTTCACTTCTTGGATGAAAACTACATGCTAGAGCAAATACAACAATAACTACACATTAAAATAAGCTAATTAATCAATAGCCACCCCTTAGCCTATCTTACGTACAAATATCAAGCAATCATAATCTGCACTTAACATTGGAACATTCCACACATTGGGTTTATGGACTTATTAAATTTTTGGGCTAATAAGTTTATGGACATACTTTAATAGTAAAAACATACGTTTTATTAAAGGGTAGTTCTATTCACACTTTTTCTTTTTACTCTTTATACTCACTCAATTTAAAAATTTCTTCTTACAAAAAAGTCCTTTAAGTAAAATGATCAAAAAAGACAATAAACTTAATTATATAATTTATTTTATTACAAAAGAGAAACTAATAGAGACTATTTTTTTTTTCTCCACACACCCCACATATAATTTTCTAAATTATAAATTATTTCTATTTCAAAAATCCATTCCAAATAATTTTCACGTTTTCAATGACTATTCCAAAATATTACACGGTGGTAGTTCAATTTTCTTTACTATTTGTTATATGAAGATTGTTTTTTCTTTTTTCTTTTATGTTTCATTTTGTTTTTACATTTGTTTGCTAATCAATCTTTTAACCAACTTGTTTCACTTTTTTTGTTTTTTATAATGTCAGACTAGGGGTCTTTTCCCCTTGGATTTTTTTTTTGTTAATGCTAACTCAATCAATATTCAATAAATATAATGCAACTTAATTTACATTTTTTTAAAAAATTTTCATTTTCATTTTTATTTTTCATTTTTTGTTTTCCTATTGAACTTAAAAAGAAAAAGCTCTATGCCTAAATTAAAAAAAAAAAGATATAAACAAAATATAATATTAAAGTGAAAAATTAACTTACGTGGCGTGTGTAGTTAGATAGGAGTGTGAAGAGTAAAGAGGTTGGTGTGTAGAGAAAAAGAGGGGGTGTAAATAAAAATATCCTTAATAGTTTTATGAAAATAGTTAGGGGTAATTTTAAAACAATAAAGGTGTGTAGAAAGAAAATTAAATCATTTGAAAATTATAAGTGTGTAATTAGAAGGAGGTGTGAAGAGTAAAGTGTAAACATTTAATTATTTAAAATGATATAAACAATAGGCGTACAGAAACGTTAATGCAGAAAACAAGAAGTGATAAAAACAACATGAACGAGTACGACCAGCATTTTGCAACCTGCAAACGGACACGACAACATCAACACGAGCTACATCACTAATACCACACTAGTCTCTGCATCAGTATACCCTAATGACCATACCATTTTGGTTCTCTTGTCACCAATAATGTGCATGTTTGTGGTAGCATTGGGTGAAAAACAGTGGATTTGTTAGTTGTCACCACTGTTTATCTCATGAAAAGTACAACAAAAGAAGAAGAGGAAGAAATTAGGCCCCTTAGCCGTATATACATAGTAACGAATAATAATAGAAACACTTACTTAAATTTTAACTCTTATATATTAATTAATGTGACATATAAATTATCATTTTTATATTGATAGGTGTTTAAAATATTATCACGTTAATTAATGATAAGAGATTGTATCTTCATAGCTTTGCTCTCTCATGAGTTAGTGTCTTCACCACATAGGTTTTATAGTTTTACTAGGAAACTGTCTATTTATTTCTAAACTATGCATGACTACAAGTTCAAAAGAATAAAATCAAATTCAAATAACACTAAGAATTACAGCAATGAGCATACAATTATTTTTAAGGAGAGGTTTCATGAATCATGTTTTCCTAACTACGTGTGAGTATATGTTTTATTATTTTGTAGCACGGATACACCATTTAAGTAGCATATTTCGTTAATTAAGCTGGCAAAAAGTGAATAATAAATAAATTAAAAAAGGGAAAAAGAAAATAAAAAGAGGGACCTCTTTGGCTGTGCTCTTCAACGTGACTGGTCAACTACTTCATTTTTCTTTTTTGGGTACAAAAAGGTCAACTAGTTTTTTGTTTGTTAATTTTTCTTTGATGATGATAATCTGTATTCTTTTTTTTTTTTTTTTTTTTTTTTTTTTTTTTGTGTCTCGCAAATTCAAAACCAAAAGAAGATGCGTAGTGCTGGGGTTTTCAAATTTTCCCCTGTATCAACTGCATAAAGGTGAATTTTCATTTTTTATAGAGATAACATCAATTTTTTACAACAACAACAAGAGGACAAATTTTTACAACAACAACAATATAACAAACTTTTATAACAACAACAACAACAGGACAAACTTTTACAACAACAACAACAACAAGATAAATTTTTACAACAATAACAACAACAACAGGACAAACAAACTTTTACAACAACAACAACAACAGGACAAACAAACTTGTACAACAACAACAACAATAGGACAAACTTTTACAACAACAACAACAACAAGAGGACAAACTTTTACAACAACAACAACAACAACAACAGGACAAACTTTTACAACAACAACAATAACATGACAAACTTTTACAACAACAACAACAATAACAGGACAAACAAACTTTTACAACAACAACAATAACAGCAAGACAAACTTTTACAATAACAACAACAGGACAAACAAACTTTTACAACAACAACAATAACAGCGAGACAAACTTTTACAATAACAACAACAGGACAAACAAACTTTTACAACAACAACAATAACAGCGAGACAAACTTTTACAATAACAACAACAGGACAAACAAACTTTTACAACAACAACAATAACAGCGAGACAAACTTTTACAATAACAACAACAGGACAAACAAACTTTTACTACAACAACAACAACAGGACAAACTTTTACAACAACAACAACAGGACAAACAAACTTTTACTACAACAACAACAGGACAAACTTTTACAACAACAACAACAGGACAAATTTTTTTAACAACAACAACAACAAGAGAAACTTTTACAAGAAGAAGAAGAAGAAGAAGAAGAAGAAGAAGAAGAAGAAGAAGAAGAAGAAGAAGGCAAACTTTTTTTTTTATTAGATAACGGCATACTCACAAATTTCACTTTTTGCGTTGGTTAGATCACAAATATATTTTTTGTCATGATATGACCCAAAAATTAAAATTTAAAATTTCAAAAGTTAAGTGGATAAGTGTTCTCAATACACAATAATAAAAACTATAAGATTAACAATAAAACTTACTTTTTATGAATTGTGATATCTAATAAGAATTTTTTTTTTATTACTGACATCTGATGTATATACAACAAACTAAAATTGATTGTCAAAGTGTGCGAGTGTTGGTTGAGTCCAATAGCTTGGTCAAAAATATTGGCTTCCAAGTTCCAAACTGGTCAAGTGAACCAGCTAGGGCACAAGGATAGGTTTTGTAACTTTTGTTCTGTCCAAGAGCTGAGTAGAGAAAAAAGTGGCAAAAATGAGAGGAGCACTATTGAAGGGGTGTGTGTACATGTGGTGTTATTTGTATTAATAAGATATAACAGCTAATTGGGTAATGGGTAGTAGTTGAGAGATGATGAATGAGCCATTTATGCCCCAAATTAAAGATTTTATACTAACATATATATAGACCAGAGTAAAGCGACCCATGGGCGGTGTTATTTACTTTCCTTCATCTTCGAACCACTTGCATTAATTGTCCTTCTCTTCATTATTCATGTATTAAAAATTCTACGGCCTTGTTTGGTATACGGACTATTTGGGTAAGTGTTTAGATATTTTTAATGCTTATTTTTTAAAACTATTTTGACTCATTTAAGCTCTCTTAAAAGTATGGTTTCAAACACTTATTAAAAATTTATACGAAGTTTAAATAGAAAAGTTTGAATATGAATTTAAATTTTATAAAAAAAAATACTGTATGAAAAAAATTTAAATAGTAGTTTAAATCTTATATGAAGCAAATGCATAGATAACTCTTAAAAGTAAAAGTAAAAACTTTAACAAACAGGTACTATATATCCCCATCAGACTCAAAGAATAGATCCTATATATTTTGACTCATTTAAGCAATTTTTATAAGTATGATTCTAAACAATCACCATAAATTTTTACTTATTTTCTTCTATTAATCAAAAACGAAAATAAAAAAACTCTATCGAACGGGCCTTACATATTTCGGTGGGGATATAAATATATCCTATATGGGCCCACTCCTTAGGTTATCCCCGTGGATCTATATAACACTGCTGATATAAATATCTTCTAGTCTTTTCATTTCATTTTTTTTTTCCTTTCCTAGTCTCTATCCTCGTTACGTCAAGTATTATTACCACTAAATATATATTACATAGTAATCTAGTGCAGATATTTTTCATTTATTTACCCTTGCATTGAATTGCAGATAACTTTTTTTCCCCCCTTGAAAGTAAGTGAAGTTATGTTGCTTATTTCCAATGAAGTTTAATATGACAATAAAAATGGAATTTTTATTTTCGTTGTCAAAAGTATTAGAAATTGGATTTGTCAAGGAAAATAATATGTGAGCTATAAAGGTGATGTGAATACGTATTTGAGTAACATTGATCGTGATGCCGCTGCTTAATATTATTGCCAATACATGATACGTCTATGTTTGTGTGTGAGACAAATATTGACCCGGAAAAAGAAATCAATTTATAAAGGTAGTGGTGATCTATTATGTATTTATGTTATATGGTAGTTTAGGAAATTCTTTACATTATTAGTGATGGTAACAATTAAGAAACCTGCATATTGGTACTGTTGAAAACGATTTAGCCAACTGCATGTTATATATATATAAGCTGGTCGTACGAGGCTTGTTGAAAGATCCCATGATCTACATAATATGTGACATCTACTTCCTCTAAATGTAGAATAATATTGGCTGGGGTATTAATATGTACTATATATGAGCTGTTTAGTTTGTTGATTCGAGTTTTTAATTCGAGTTGAGATGTGACTTTATATAAAAGTTTTTTATTGCAGCAAAAAAATTAGATGTGACTATTTCTGAGAGTTTTTTTACTGTAGTAAAACTTGAATTCTAAACTCAAATTGGTGGCCTATATATATGCCTTGTATTTATCAACTAGGATTATATTTGAAAATTAATTTGTGAAAGAGGGAGCAAATTTCATAAACTGGGATTATGCACTACTACATGCTTGGAATTGTAGAAAAGAGCGAAAAAATTTGAGAATTTGTGTGAGACAGAGAGAATTTATCTTTTTTTTAAAATCGTCATTGAATTGTGACATTCAACAGAAAATTTTCTTTAAAAGTGACCGTGGATGAATGTTAGGCATTAATGACGGCTTTCGAAAAACAACTTTTTATTTTTTTGTTGTTTTTAACTAGAATGTTTCATTACGAGTGAGTCGTTTAATTTATTTGTTGTAATTATATATATATATATATATTTGTAGTAAAAAGTGACTGTTCACACTCCACTCTCGACGACTTAACTATCCAAAAGTATTACATTAATCAATCAATCCTCATTAACATATGGCAGTTTTCTTTTTCACTAAAAAGAAAAAGACGTGTATGGATAACTATTACACTAGTTGCATGAAAACACACAATCATTACCGCTCACAAAAATAACAAATAGCAAATTTTAACGTGTCCAGGAAAGTGGTTGATCAGGAGTTAAATTGTGCAACAACCGTGTGAAAGCAAGATAAGAGAGAAAGAAAGAAAGAAAGAGGAGAGAGAGAGAGAGAGAGAGAGAGAGAGACTCTGTGGAAAACGTTAATAGGTGTCGGTCCAAATATTAAATGCTCCTAACAGCGACCACCCGTACTCATTAATTGTCTTACAAGTTTTTTTTTTTTTAAATTAAAAAAAATCATGTTTAATCCCATTGCATAACAATACAATATCACTACTCTTCCACTTTCAGATCATTTTGAAACCCAAAAAGCTTTCTAATGGCAACAATATTAATATCAATCCTTCCCTTCATGAAAAAGAAGTGTTAGTAATAGTACTGTTATCCTAACAGCTTTGAAGGGCTCATTTTGCATGGCACATTAAAATCACTTTTAGTCAAACTAAACTTCACACATTTCCCATTTCACCATGTCATCAAAATCTCACATCTTCACTTATATTATTTAGAGGAGAAAACAATACACAAAGATCGATCTTTGGTCAAAAAAACAAGCTGGAATTTAGCACATATATATATATATATATACATATATATAATGGGATATGGTACGACTGAAAGTGTTGATGATCAAGATCATCGCGAAAAGATGACGAGAAACGCTCAAGCGAACCGTGTGATGATGGAGATAGAGGCCGGGAAGGCGGCGGCGGGAAACGGGCTAGTAGCGGCGGGGTGCGGTTTGAGCCCATTGAGCGAGACGCTTTGGAAGGAGACGACGAATACAGAGCTTGTTGGAGATGTTTCTGCAAGGCTGACATGGAAGGATCTGACTGTGACCGTCACGCTTAGTAATGGGGAGACGCAGAAGGTTCTAGAAGGCCTCACCGGCTACGCCGAGCCGGGGACTTTCACCGCTCTCATGGGCCCCTCAGGCTCCGGCAAATCCACTCTTCTTGATGCTCTCTCTAGTCGCTTGGCTACAAATGCTTTTCTCTCTGGCTCAATCCTTCTCAATGGTCGCAAGAGAAAGCTTTCTTTTGGCACTGCAGTAAGTCCTCTTATTATTTTTTTTTTCTTGTGTGTATGGCCTATTTGTTTGAATATGTAATTTTTTCCCTGAAAAAATGTTATATATTATCGCTTGGCAATTTTTCAAGGGGTCAGAAATCGTTACAAAATAGACTTTTGGAAGGTTTTCTTCTGTTTTTTTTTTTTTTTTTTTTTTTTTTTTTTTTTTTTTTTTTTTGTGAGTTTGTAATTTGCTAAAGCGTAGTGTTTTTTTTAGAAAATAATTGTCTTATGTTTTAATTATTTATGTGTCTCAAAAATTGATATATGAATATGTTATTGGTTAAAAACTAGTTAGTAGCAACTACAACAAGTTAGATCTTGCTTCTAGTCCAATTATTTTCTCGTTTTTTTTTTAATCCATTTGCAGTAGCAAGAATAATCTTGCGGTAAATCCACAACATTCTCTCAAATATTGAAGTCTAGAAGTTTGAATCGTCCACTCTTAGTTTGGGGAAAAAATATTAGCTATAAGAGTGGATTTTGTAAATGTTTTATGGTGTCATGATCATATTGTTACATGTTGCTAAATAGTATCTGACTTCTCAGGCCTATGTGACACAAGATGACAACTTGATTGGGACTCTTACGGTGAGGGAGACGATTTCTTACTCAGCGAGGCTGCGGTTGCTGGATAAGATGGCGTGGTCGGAGAAGCGGGCGCTAGTGGAGAGCACCATCATAGAGATGGGGCTTCAAGATTGTGCAGACACTGTGATTGGGAATTGGCATTTGCGTGGGATAAGTGGTGGAGAGAAGAGAAGAGTGAGCATTGCTCTTGAGATCTTGACAAGGCCTAGATTGCTCTTCCTTGATGAGCCTACTAGTGGACTTGACAGGTTCATTTCCAACATCTTAAATAACTACAACTTTGTTACTTGTTGAAGGAAAAAAAAAAAAAAAGAAGGATAATGAACAAGGCCTTAGTTTTCTGTTATGGGCATCTTTTTTTTTTTTTTTCTTATTATTATTATTTTTAATTTTAAGTCTTGCCTGTTTGCTGTTCTTTGATTTGGAACTATGTGCTCTTTTTGAGTGTTATTACTTCACAAGGTTGCCAAAAGGAGCTATCTTTGTCTTGTACTCAAAATAGTTTTTTAATTTTGTTTATCCTCATTTATCTTTGGACTTAGCGAGCTCTTAATGAATGAATTTGGATTTTTCTTGTGGCAGTGCTTCTGCTTTCTTTGTGACACAAACATTACGTGGCTTGTCAAGGGATGGGAGGACTGTGATAGCCTCAATTCACCAGCCTAGCAGTGAAGTTTTTGAGCTGTTTGATCAATTGTACTTGCTCTCTGGGGGCAAGACTGTTTATTTTGGTCAGGCTTCTGAGGCGTATGAGGCAAGAATAAAGTAGAGAAAAAAATTATACTCTTTTTGTTTTTGGTTATACACTTGATTATGAACTCTGTGAATGGTCTTCTTATATTGATTGGTTTTTGTGCAGTTCTTTGCACAAGCTGGTTTTCCTTGCCCTGCTCTGAGGAACCCATCTGATCATTTTCTAAGATGCATTAATTCTGACTTTGATAAAGTCAAAGCCACTTTAAAAGGGTCCATGAAACTAAGGGTATTATTGCTTTCTATTTACTCTCTATTGAGCTTCTCAATCCATGGCAAAAATGGCCTTTGCACTTTTGGTTAACCTCCTTTTTTTTTTTTTTTTTTTTTCTTCATCAGTTTGAGGCAAGTGATGATCCTATGGAGAAGATTACAACTGCTGAAGCAATTCGAACTCTCATCGACTCCTACCGAACTTCTCAATACTGCTACGCGGCAAGAGAAAAAGTTGATGCTATATCCAAAGTTGTAAGTGTTGTTCTGAAGAAGCTGCTTAGAAATCGACCACCAGATAAGGCATTTTCCTGAAACCATTATAGTAAATGCTATGTATTAATACAATTTTTTTTTCACCATATGTTGCAGAAAGGAGATGTTCTAGATGCGGGAGGAAGTCAGGCCAGTTTCTTGATGCAAGCCTGTATGTTGACCAAGCGGTCTTTCGTCAACATGTCGAGAGACTTTGGCTATTACTGGCTCAGGCTGGTGATTTACCTTGTGGTCACAATTTGTATAGGAACCATCTATTTGAATGTGGGGACAGGCTACAATTCAATCCTGGTATGTAAAATTAATTCATACCTCCAATCATTTTTTTTATAAGTTAGTTTCTGTAAAAATAACTAAAATTCTTTCATGTACTAACACATGTCCAACAGGCAAGAGGCTCATGTGCATCTTTCGTCTTTGGATTCGTCACATTCATGTCGATTGGTGGGTTCCCTTCATTTGTGGAGGATATGAAGGTAAGTAGAATTATAGTATCTCATCACCCCCATACAAAAAAAAAAAAAAAAAAAAAAAAAAAAAAAGAAAGGAGCCTTAAAGGCCTAAACAATTTACATAAAAAGAAAGGAAAAAAAAATGACAGCTTGATATATATCTTCCTTTTTCAACAGGTTTTCCAAAGAGAGAGGCTGAATGGTCACTATGGTGTGACTGCATTTGTTATCAGCAACACAATCTCTGCCATGCCATTCCTGATACTGATCACATTTCTCTCCGGAACCATTTGCTATTTCATGGTCCACCTCCATCCAGGTTTCATGCATTACCTGTTCTTTGTGTTGTGCCTTTACGCGAGTGTCACCGTCGTTGAGAGCTTGATGATGGCCATAGCCAGTATCATTCCCAACTTCCTGATGGGAATCATCATCGGAGCTGGAATTCAGGTCAGCTTTCTTCTTACTTACATCACAAGAAAAACTTTTCATCTCTACTTCAGCATGTGTAGCAATAATCTCACATGCATAGAAATATTCTGTTTAATTTGACTTTTTTGGAATTGCTTTTAGATTATAAAATAATCTGGGTAGCCCATTTCTGATACCATGATTTGACTTTCTTGAAACATTCTAAATGATTTTTGTTACAAAAGATCTATTTTCACAACAACACTAGTAGGTATTGTTTAAAAAAGTTATCATATACCATTATGGTTCTTTGTTTATACTCTCTTGACAAATTTGTGGGATTCTTCTCATGGCAGGGCATATTCATGTTGGTGTCTGGATACTTCAGGCTTCCAAAGGACATCCCAAAGCCTGTCTGGCGTTATCCAATGTCATATATCAGCTTCCACTTCTGGGCTCTACAGGTAAATTAGAGCAAAGATACACATCATGAAAGATTTTAATCATAAATATCATGAATGCATAGCATACGCGGTAAAATTTCGTCAAATTTATAAAACCGAAATTACTCTTTTGTCTCAACTTCTTTAACCCCTAACAAGTTATAATTTAGTTTCATGATACCTCGTGAAATTGTTTTTTTTTTGTTTTTTGTTTTTTTTTTTTTTCACTGTGTGTATCATTTTTCGGTAAAACAGCGCTAACTATACAACCACTTGTTGGAAAAAAGATACTAACAAGAAGGTCCTGTAGCATTACTAAAAGTATTAAAATTTTCTTTTAACTTTCAGGGACAATACCAGAATGATCTGATGGGGTTGATGTTCGACAACCAGACGCCAGACCTGCCCAAAATCTCAGGTGAGTTCATCCTGGAAAACATCTTCCAGATCGACATACACCGGTCGAAATGGGTGGATGTCAGTGTGATCTTCAGCATGATTGTGATCTACCGCATCATCTTCTTCATCATGATCAAGATCAATGAAGATGTGACACCTTGGGTGAGAGGTTACATAGCAAGGAGAGTAATGCAACAGAAGAACAAAAGCCAAGGTGCAACCGCTTCTCCTGACGGCCTTTCTCAGTCCCCTTCATTGAGGAACTACGTGGCCAATACGACGTCTTCAGT